GGGGGACAGGGAGGGAGGGGGGAAAATGAGGAGCTGATACCAAGGGCTCAAGTAGAAAGCACGTTTTGAGAATGATGACGGCAACAAATGTACACATGTGCTTGACAAATGGATGTATGCATGGATTGTGATAAGAGTTGTACGAGCCCCCAATAAAATGATTTTTTTTTTAAAAGAGGAAGGTGAGGTAGATTGGCCCATTGGCTGGAACCATGGGCTCAAGTGCGACAATGACCGTGAAGATGGCATCGGCCTGGGCGGTGTTTGCTCTGTTACTCATTGGGTCCCTGTGTATTGGAACGGACTCAAAGGCACCTCCCACCACCCGAGCCAAAGTGATATGTGTTTCAGTGATCTAGTTCTAAGAGCACCTGGGTGGTATTCCTCCTTTAACACTAATGAGGAATTGCATACATATTAATAGTTAGTTAGGTTAAGCGGGTGCTATCTACATCTAGATATACATGCTCACTCTTCATATATGCTCATTAAATATATCTGTTCACTTTTTACTTAGTAACGAACAGTCAGCACTTATGCTTGCCTGCTACTATCCTATACACCTTATATATGCATTATTCCGTTTAATCCCCACAACATTGGGAATTCCACAACATGATGAGACAGACACTATCGTCCCCATTTTACAGTTTGAGAGACGGACAGTCAGGTAAGGTGTCTGAGATGGCGCATCTAGCAAGTGACAGAGCTGTGGTATCATCCCAGGCTTTCTATTCCAAAGATGAAGCTTTCACTCATAATGGTTTGTTGCCTGCCACGTCCTACGTGTGTCATGAAACTATGGTGCTGACTAAAAATATTGAGTATACCATGGATTGCCAGAAGAAAGAACAAATCTGTTTTGGAAGACGTTTGGAAGATGGTCCTCCTTAGAAGCAAAGATGCGAGGCTTTGTCCTACTTCCGTTGGCTATATCACAAGAGGGATCAGTCCCTGGAGAAGGATGCCCTGCCTGGTAAAGTAGAGGGCCAGCCAAAGGGGAAGATCCTTGTGTTAGTCTGGGTTGGCTAGAGAAACAAACTCATGGACACTCATGTGTATAAGAAAAAGCTTTATATCAAAGAGTAATTGTATATTAAGACAATATCCCAATCCAAGCCACATCAAGTCCATAAGTCTTATATTAGCCTATATGTCCAATCCCAGTCTATAAATTCCTCTTTTGACTCACAC